TTCTTCTTCCCAATCTTCTAGAGCTTCTGAGGCTCAGTGTCCTGTTTTCCCCTTCTCAGCTCCTTAGTTCTGCATCTCTTTCTTACTGCTCCTTAGTTCTAAATTCTCTTATTGTCCTCGACAGCTAGACTCCTGCTTCTTCAGTAACTAAAGCTTCTGAGGCTTGCTTCCCGCATGGCTAGAGCTTCCTCCGCTCACCTTCTTGAGTGTTGAGAGTTTCCCTGGCCCACACTCCTTCCCAGTGTCCCAAGCTTCCCCGGCCTGCACTTCTCTCCCAAATGGCTAGAGCTTCCCCGGCCTGCACTCCCATGTATTCCTGGGCATCCAGAGCTTCTACGGCTTGCACTCATCCTGTGTAGCTCAGAGCTTTGCTACCATTTATGTCCTTTCCCGTTCATCCTGTCAAGCTTGCTTCTCTGCACAATCTTCTAGAGCTTCTGAGGCTCACTTCCCGCGTGGCTCACACAATCTTCTAGAGCTTCTCTTATTGTCCATCTCAGGTCCCTGTTTGGGCGCTATTTGTGGGAAAACAGAGAGGAGCAGACAACCACCCAGAAGCCCCATAGCATCTTCTCCATCCCCAGTCTCTCCTTTCAATCCTTCAATCCTCTCTTTATCTTTCCAGGTGATGCTTATATCCCCACATCTCTAATTTCAGTGGGTGTTCCATGTTAACATCTGATGGTTGGCCTCAGAAAATCCTTTAGTCCATCAAGTAATCAGCATTATCATTTTCATCCCTGTCCAGCCTTTCTTCCCATTCCTTATTCCTATAAATATTCAATGAAAATAAGCTGATAGGAAAGCAAAGGAACTCTTCATTCACCTTTACTGAGGCGTTTAGGTAGATTCCTTGGGTAGAATATCCCTTTTGTTGTCACATTAAAAGATCTGTTCTAAGCTGACTTGCCAATACAGATGTGGAAGTGAGTAGTTAAACAGGAGAGATGACATTCCCAATAAAAATAAATAAGGTATGGAACTCATGAACTTCTTACTGCAGCATGTCTTCTTAGAACTAGGAAGACTAGAGGTAGTAATGGTAGCTTTTGTGGGGGCTGTAGGAGATAGAGAGCTACAAACAAATAGATCTGCTATATCCTGCGAATGTATTCATAAAAGCTGTAATAAAGGGCAGAATTGTTTGATGCATGGACAAGTTACATCATAGGGGAGACTGATTCTGCATAGAAAAGCTATGTCTCAAAAATGTTTTGGAGGAATCAACAAGATGCTGGTAGTGAACATTCCCTCAGTATCTGGGAAGAGTGTTCATCAAAGGTCACAGAAGGTAAGCTGCCATAGACTGAGGAGGAAGATCCTCACATGGACAAAGGAGACAGAGAAAGGCAGCCACTTGTGCCATGGGACAAAGATTATCCTGTGCACTGGACAATGTGTTTACAGGTGACCTAGAAAGGGAGATGAATAGGAAAGTGACAGAGTCTGCTGACAGCAGATTAGCAGGGCAGAAAACTGAAGATCGGGTCAGAGTCAAGGCAATGCCTCACAGGAGGTAGTGTGAGGGCAATGATATAGAATCACACAGAATCACTGCAGGCTTGAGGCTGGAAGGGACTGCTGGAGATCATCTGGTCTCACCCCGCAGCACAAGCAGGGTCACCTAGAGCTTGTTGCACAGAAACCCGTCCGGACGAGTTCTGAATATCTCCGGAGAGGGAGACCACAACCTCTCTGAGCAGTCTGTGCCAATGCTCTGTCACACTCAGTCAAAACTTTTTCCTCATATTCAGATGGATCATTCTGTTTTTCAGTTTGTGGCTGTTGCCTCTCGTCTTACCACCGCCCACCACTGAAAACACTCTTTTCAGAGACCCCTTTCTCTCGACACCCTCCCTTAAGGTACTTGTATGCACTGACAAGATCCCCTCTCAGCCTTCTGCAGACTAAACAGATACAGTTCTCTCAGCCTCTCCATGTAGCAGACATGCTCTAGTCCCCTAATCATCTTTGTAACTCTACGTTGGGCTCATTCCAATAGCTCCATGACTCTCTCGTGCTGGAGAGCCCAGCACTGGATACAGCACTCGGGATGTGGCGTCGCTGGGGCTGACTAGAGGAGCAGGATCATCTCCCTTGACCAGCTGGCAACACTCTTCCTAACTCAGCCCAGGATACAATTGGCCTTCTTGGCCACAAGGGCACCTTGCTGGTTCATAGTCAGTCTGTCACCCACCAGGATGCCCAAGTCCTTCTCTGCAGAGCTGCCCTCCACAGCTCCCTGCACTTGCCTTTGTTGAACTGCATGAGGCTCCTCTCTGCTTGACTCTTCAGCCTCTCAAGGCCACTCTGGAAGGCAACACAGTTCTTAGAGGTATCACCAAGGTTGCCAGGGGGAATAAAGGACCCCATCATCTCATGCTGCTCCTATGCAGCTGGTATTGGCTGCTGTTAAAGAAAGGGTGCTGGGGGAGAGGAGGTATGATCAGACCTAGCACAGCCGCCCTTGCTGCAGCTGTTGCGGCCAGACCACTCTATGCAGCACATGGTGGCTGAAGGAACAATTTGCTCAACTTGCTGGACAGGGCAGGAGCACTGTGACTCACACCCCAATACGATGCCCTGCTCTCTGCCCAAGGCATGGCACCATCTGCATTGCTGTCAGGACCTCAGATCTCCCAGTCTGACCAGGACCTGACCTGCAGAAGAGCACAAGGCCAGGGAGGAACATCAAGGTGAAAATGCCTTCTTGAGACTGTGGCAAGTAAAATGATAAGCCTAATGAGGTGGATGAGGGATTTGGGGGAGCCACAGCATGGTATGAACTCCTTCACTCCCCCCCTGCCAGTTCTGCACAGAGAAAAGTTGCAAGCAGAAAAGGAACTGGAAAGGTGGGCAGAGCCTGCTGTGTGCTCTGGAGCAGCCACAGCAGCACATGGAGCACAGCACAGGCAGAAAACCAAAGTGCAAGACGAGGAATGGAAACTACCGGTGGCAGAAAGAAATGATCTCACTGCCCTCTGCTGAGGTAATGCCCACGCATGGCAGGAAGGAAATATTTGGCTGGAACATAATGTGGAGACACCAGGACTCCCACTTACATATAGCCCTTGGCAAAAGGCATTGCTAGTGGCAGGATGTTATGATCTGCATTAACAAATGTACTGGAAACAATCCTTGAGGAGAGGCTAAGTGTGGGCTCAGCACTCTTGGAAGTCTGGCAAACACTGAAATATTGCAGTGCAAACTGGCCAGGGAGGTGAATTCCTGCTGGAAACAGGACTGTCCTTCCCAAAAAGGGTGGGGGGGTCCCTAGCTTGGAAAGCCCCAGCCATGACCGTTGCCCTGTTGCACTTAGGATGTGTCCAGCTCTGTGAGGGAACAGACAGGAGTCAGTGTTGAGGGCCAGAGTTTTCCCAGCAGGGCCTGGAGTGCTGCCAACTAGACCTTAACCTCCGTTTCTTCATCCTCCTCCAGCCACCACACCCGGGAGCAGAAGGGATGCACCAAATAGTGCAAATAGGCAACTAGTGCAAATGGGACCCACAGAATACGAAAGAACTGAAGTGGAAATTGCTGCAGAGGGAACCCAAACCAGCCACAACCCTATCCCCTTCAGCAACAAGATCTGGAGAGAGGTTTTTCAAATATGTTTTCCCTGTCCCTGTGATGAAGGGGAGGAAGGAGCACCTAAGGAACACCCTGTTGAGTTCAGCAGACCCAGCACATCTGCGTGACTACACAGAAAGGAGGAAGATCCCCAGTCTTCTGGACAGGCCAGCAATGCTGTCTGAGGACTGACATCGCAGAAAGATCAGTGGAAAGGATCTGGGACAACCTCCTTTTTCAGGAGAGGGGAGAGCTATCGTTTACCCTGCAGAACCTCTGTGCCTGTGGTCATGTTTGAGCCTTTGGAGATCAGCATGTGTGGGATGCTTGGTTCCAGCTTTCCCAAGACTTCGCTGGGGGCACAGTTTACCCTGCAAACAGAGCTGAACAGCACAGAGACCCCCTCATGACAGTGAGCAGTGGGTTTTCCAATCTCACTCCACTCCTTGCCTCATCTCTGCCTGCCTCCATCCTGCTCCAGCGGACAGCCCTGCCAGGGCCCTGGGCAGCCAGCCCTGCTCTGTCCTGTGGGATGCACCCAGGAGGGAGTAAATCCTCACGGGCTGCAAGAACTCACCCCCCTGGTGCCCCAGTTGTGTGTGTCCTGCCCTACTCCGACAAAAAATCTCCCCTGGTTATTCATCATGCCCAGAGCCTGGGAAGAAGGCAGGAGGGAAAAGATGCTTGGACACCTTGGATTATCTTCAGAAAACCATACCAAAAGCATTCTTTTTATTTATCAAAGAGAAGGAGTACACACTGGAGAAGCAGAAGATGTGTCAGAGTGTGACAATAGCGCTCAGAAGAGGGGTAGCCTGGAGCTTCAGAACGTGGGTTCTGCCTTTCTCAGAGAGGAGCATCCATCAGCCAGATCCAGGCCTCCTGGAAAACAGTCAGGAGAGGTGAGCTGGGTGTTAAGAGGTGAAGAGGCCTATGGAGCAGGCCAAGCAGGACTCTCCAATGCAGTCAGTGCTTCCTCTTCCAGTTCTCCCCAGCACTGTAGCCTAGGGCCATATCCCAGGATGGATGGGAAATTTCTATCTGATCTCTGCCGTTAAATAGGTAGTAGTTCAGGGGGAAATCCTATGCCAGGGCTGCCCAGTGACCAACCATGTTTTCTATGGTGAGATATCAACCCAACCTCTGGCCAGTTTTGGCTGTTAACAACACTCAGGTCCCTTTCGGAAAAGTCCTTGTGCTGGCTCTCACCCCTAGGTGAAATCTGCAGCCATTTCTCCACTGAATGGAGCCTCACAGCTCTGCTTCAGATGTATTTGCTCACTGCTGGTCAGCAGAGCACCCCAAGGTCTCGGTACTGCCACTGGGGCCCTGTGCTCCCTGCTGTAGAAGCTGCTGAGAGCCTCCTGCTCAAGAAGAAAAGCCCTGCCTCAGTATAAGCTCCACCCTGGCTCAAACAACATGCTGCCCACCAAGTGATCCAAGTTGTTCATGGTGGCCTTTGCTTGGGCATCAAGAGGAGCAAGTTTCAATTCGGACTTTGTAGCAACTTACCTATTGTACTTCGACGCTGCATTCCTCTGTGAAAATAAAGAGAAAGGCTGAGTTCATGACTCTGGGTCTGGCTAGTACCACTTAGCACAAAAAAATAGCAAGCAGACAACCCAGGAATGGAGTCAAGCAGGACTAAAGTCATGACATACCCAAGCCAGAGCATGTCTCATTACCAGGGCCTTCTGTGGCAGTTCAAATCACAAAGTGGTGCCATGTATAGACCAATGGAAAATCTGTTCACATATCTAACAAGCCGCACTGGCATATGCGAATCTGCTTCTGGTCTGTGCTCACCTTGTCTGGGCAGCATCGTGATCATTTCGTCGGTGAAGCCTTGTTTCTTGGCAAGTCTCTTGAACTGCTCAGCGATTTTTTGGCTCACCTTCTTGGTCCTGCCTGAAGTCAAAGACCTGAATTAGCACCAGGCTTTGGCCCGTTTCTGGAATTATCTGGGCACCTGAAGAACTCATGTGGGTTAGGACAGGAGACACAGATAGGCTGGACAATTGCTGGGAGAAGACGGGAGGGAGCAGTGGATATCCCAAAAGTGTGACTGTGGCTGGGCATGTGAATCACCTCTTCCAAGGACTGAGGTGAAGAAGAGGTCCTGGCACCAATGCACCTACAACCAGCACAGTGACTCCTGTCTTTAGCTCCCATCTCCAATCTTTTGGATTCCCTCCTTGTTCCTGCAGCAGGGCCTCATCTTTTAGCCCTCTTCTACCAAGCAACTTACCCAAGTCATTCCTGTCACAGAGAAGGGATTTGGGACTGCCCCCGCTACTCCATCATCCCCACATCACTGGCCTTTCCTCTTGCCGCACATGGGATTTGCAGCAGCAACAGCCTCTCTCCTGTGCACCCACTCAGCAGGGCAGGAGGGCCATTCACAGCAAGAGTGGGGTGTGGGGAGGGTCTCCCTTGCGGGTTCTGAGCACTCTCTGGGGGACTTTCTCCTTGTGACATTGTAAAGCACCGCATGGCCTGTGACCCCTTGGCTTCTGATGGCTAAAGCTGTTGGTCGCATCACCACTGCCTACGTACTGTAGAGCCTCATCATACGCAAGGTCTTCCCGTCCTTCACTCTGTTTACATATATCACTGCGTAGCTCTTGTAGTCGGTTTCCATCACCTGCGCTGTTTTTTCGCCTGTCTCTGTAAAAGAATGTGGAGGAAAGCAGAAAATTCGTTTCATTCTCCAAGAGCTCCCAGTATGCAAAAGATCTCCTAGGATGTGAATCTTCCTGCAGAAAGCCAAGGGCCACATTCACCCAGCTCACTGTCTCCACTCCTGGCTTTTGATCTTGATAAGGCTCCTCTGAAGCCTTGAGGAGTCTGGAGAACAGACCATAGCAGAGTTCTGACTCAAACAGGGACCATGAACACAGGAAGGGTCTGGAGAGGTCACCGCAGACAGTGGAGTAACCTGGCCAGTTTTAGCCTAACACCTGGGATGTGAATGGTGGAAGCCTTCTGAAACTACTCTTCCTTCATCTCTTGGGACCATCTGTCCACATCCCTATTGCAAAATGAACCTGCTTTGCCCCAGAGATTAAGCTCAGACTGAACACAGCCATCTTAATCCAGAGCAGCTTCTGGCGTGGAACTAATGCAGGGCAGCTGCACCAGAGGGATTTCCACCCTGGCAGTGCAGCCAGCAACCAGCTCACAAAGATTTCCCCTCCCTTTTCCCCACACTCACCAGAGTAGTAGAATTCACCCGGGATGCCTATTTTCTTAAAGATCAACTCTGCTTTCTTACATCCCTCAGAGCTGCAAAACAAGGAAGGACACTCTTGTCATTCAGCCCCATGGGCATGCTCGGAGCAAGTCTATCTCAACAAGGACATGTGCAGGCACTGGTGGAGCATCATCATGCACCTGCTGGGGTGAAGTCATCCACCTCCGTCTCCCATAACGATGCTGAATCTGGAGTTTCCTCCTCAAAAATGGAATTTGCTGCTAAAGCAGGAGATGGTATGGGTGGGTAGGAGGACAGATGCCATCTCTGGAGTCATGCATGGTTTGGTTGCCAGAACAGAGCACCAGCATGCAAGACTCCTGCAGAGTCACATGGATGTTCCCTTGCTCATATAGTTTGGAGGGAAGGAGTCAGTCCTGCCTTGAGAGCTCTGATGCTCGCTTATCAAAGTGCTGCTTCCGTCCTGGGGAGGCAAGGGGAGCAGCACACTATCTCAGCATCCATGGTAGGACTCCATCTGCAGGTGTGCTGGCATGAACCTGTCTGCCCTTCTGCATCCCACCATGGGCTCTAGTGGGTTCTCATGGCAGGGACCTCTCTCCCCCGGGGCAGACTGAGAGCAGGACTAGGAAGGGAGGTCTCCATGGCACTGCTCTCCCAAGCCCCTACTTCAAACCCATGGCTGCTACACATCTGGGAGCTCTGCCTCACTCCCCATCTAGTTCTTTTGTGGTTCCTGGGTGAGGGAGCCAAGTGGAGTCTCGCTGGTGAAAGCCTGGGGATGCAGTTCAGTGAAGCTTGTAGAGAAAAGTGTTCGGTACTTACGTGGGAATGGCGAAGGAGACCTTTAGGGTACCATCCTCTAGCAGTGAGAGATTGGCCATTGCCATCTTCAGCTCATCCTTCTTTCGAAGGTAGCCTTCAGAATCCGAAGCCAGAGCAACAATGTGCCATTTCCCTGCAATCTGGTGGCAGAAGCAGACTGTGAGTCTGGAGGACAAGGCAGGACTTGCTTCTCTGGAGATGCTCAGCAGTTTGGACACCTCACTGCAGAGACCCACAGGCTGTGGCACTTGTCTAGGCATCTAAATTCAGCACCTACCTGCGCATCTATTCATTCTCAGATGGCAGAAGCAGATAAGATCTGAGCTGGCTGTAGTGCCCCCAGTTGCCCCACTAACAAAATACCTCCTCATATCCCATCCTGGTGACTTGAGGTCACCCTCCCACCTTTTCTTCCCCAGGACACCATAAGTCACCTTGCTCTTGTCTATCTCCACAGGCCTCTGGTCCTGAGCCTCCACACACAGCAAGCAGAGTTGGGCCAGCCCCAGACTCAGTAAGATGGTCCTCATCTTGCCACAGCCTCTTCCACCTTCACCCAGCGGGGTAGTGAGCGGTCCTGGGGCTGCTGGCTTTATAGAGCTGTGTTTTCCTCTCCCACTCACGTCATCACTGCTGAGTGTGGAAACGGCTTCAATGATGATGTTGTTGTTGGCTTGGGTAAGGTGGTGGTTTTGAAGGACTGACGTTACCCCTGTTTACCCTGGGTAAGCAGTTTCTCAACTCTGGAAAAAAAAAGAAAATGTCTCCAAGCCCCAAAGAGCAAGAGGTTTGAGCAAGAGGTTTGGGGAATTTCTGCTGCAGAGCTAAGAGGAAGTTTTTCATCTTTTTAATCTCTTGTGAAAGAACAACAGGACATTTTGTTCCTCCCGCTGGCTGCTGGAGAACTGCCGGGTGGAAACAGGAGGTCCTCCTCAGACTGGGCACATGTAGGAGCCATGGCACTTCAGGGCATTTAGCACCAAGGAGCACAGGGTGACATCCATGTGGCTGGAGTGGTGTCCCCCGCACGGACCCAAATCCTGGTGCCAGCACTTTGGTGGCATGACCTGATCTCCTCGTGCCCTTGTGGGCTCACCTACCAGCTCAGCTGGTGTTCAGGCTCTTTGAAGGGGGACAGACCCTGAGCAGCACAGGCGGAGAAAGGGCTTCGTGTCACTGAAAGTGTCACCCTCATCCCAGGGTGTGTTGCCTTCCAGGACCTGGCTCAGATGCAGTTCTGGACCACAGTCCATACTGCTTCCTTGCAGCTCCTGGCCAGGCACCAAGGAATGCCCCCTCCTTGGCCACCATTGCTGGGGGCGAGGTTAGTGGGACACCAAGGAGATTGTCCCCGCTCTGCATGGCTGGCAGGACACTGGCAGCTCCCAGCAGGGGAGCAGAGGGGGATGGAGGAAGGGCCCTGGGACTCATTGTAGCATGGCCATACCTTGGCCAGCAGGTAGATGTGGGTGCCAAGGAGGGCAGGTATGGGGGTCCCAATCCCTCTGTGTATTTTTCCTGGGCAGCCACAGTGAAGCTGCGCTCACACCTGGGTCTCTTCTGTCCCAGCCAGATGGACCCAAGGCTGTTTGGGGCAGGGATCTGGTGGATCCAGGGATCTGGAGCAGGGATCTGGATGGATATCCTGGGGAAAAGCTGCCCACCAGGAGCCAGAGCCAGGGCAAGCAGGGCTGAGCAGGCTGCCTGCTTGACCCTACCACCCAGCTGAGCTCCATGAATCCCCTGTTCATCCTAGTTGCCCATTTGTTCTCTGCCCACATCATCAGCAGATGTCCCACTGCACCTTCCCCAGCATCTGCTCCCCCATCATCTCCACCCTGGATTCTGCAAGCAGTGCCCTTCCCAGAAAGTCCCTGTGGTGCTGAGCAGAATGGTTGTGTCCAGGAAGATCTTGGCAGTCTCCCCTGTAATTCCCAACAAAAACATCAAGCTCTGAGGAAGCTTCTGCACCTATTTATTTAGGAGGGAGAAGTGTGTTCTTGGTGGGAGCAGCAGGGCCGGCAGACCCCAGCCAGGAAGCAAAGGGGCACCGTGGAGGAGGGGAGCAGAGCGCAGTTTCCACATGGTCTGGAGGGCTCCCATCTGCCTTCAGCTGCTGGAAGGCAGGAGAGCCACATGAGTGGTTAGAACCTGCACTACTGAGTGTTAGGGAAAGCTAGAGACCATCCTCAGGCTGTGCTGGGGCCAAGCTCCCTAAGGCAGCCCAGGACTTCTTCATCCTGGGCCTCATTGTCCTGCAACCAGAGCCCAGATCTGTGTCCCTCCTGGGGCAGATTTTCTTGGGGACTGGCAGCTTGTCTTTGTTTCACCAAACCCTCTGGTCTTGGCTAGGGAAAAGCTGTCATTACATGGAATCTCATGGGAAAGGTTTTGCCCCAACCATGCTCCCAGGCAGCATGCTGGGGCTCTTCCCAAGGAGCACAGCGCCTGTGAGGACCTGCAGGCAAAGGGGGTTATCACCGGCCCAGGATCTGGTCTACCCTGGCCACTGTAGCATGTCCCTAGGGTATCTCCCATGAGACAGCAGGACATTTTTCAACATTTTGCTTAGAAGCTTGTTGTTTTCCTTGGAGAAAGGCCCTTCTCTGACCAAGGTGTGCAGGAACTGCTCTCTGAGTCCCTGTGAGTCACTGCTCTGTCCAGACTGTACTGGGATGGAGTCCCAGTTTCTCCTGGTCACACTCACCTGGCAGCCTGCTGGCACTCGTCTGTCAAAAAGGAAAAACAAACAGGGGCTTGGTGCTGTGCCCATGCAGAGCTAGGCCTCGTGGAGAGCAGTCCCACACAGAGGGGCTGTCCTGTCTCACTGTTTGCCATGCTGCCACTCACCTGACTTTGGCATGACCACCAGCATGTCATCAGTAAGGCCCATGGTGAGGCAGAGCTCTTTGAACTTCTTCAGGAGCTGGGGGCTTACGTCCTGCCCCCTCACTGCAGACAGAAACCCAAAGGAAAGGTACAACTGGTGAGGGGGGAGGTCTGGGGACAAGATGGTCACTTGGGGCCTGGCCCCCATGAGGGCAGGGATGAGACCCAAGGGAAGAAAAAGCACATGCTGACAAAGCGATGGAGAAATGCAGCCATATGATGGATGCTGGAAGTTGTCCCAGGCATCCCATGGCTGTCTTGGGCTGATGGGAACAGAACACAAACCCCTCTGCATAGACAACCCACAGGCTTGGTTGGGGCTGCCCACCCGCCTGCCCATGAGAGCTGCCAGCGGGGCTCATAGCACGAGGCAGCAGGACGAGCAAGCACAGGCTGCAGCTCCCAGCGGCCTGGGAGCCGCGGGCAAGAGGCAGCCGCGGGACCCTTGGCTGGGATGAGATGCCTGATGCTCCAAGCACAGCAACTCAGGACAAATTTTGGAGGTCTGCAACCAGGCTGAAATACTGTAGAAGGGGATTTAATTCAAATTGAGATAATATGGGGCTGTTTTTGGTGCAAAGTTTCATTCCAGCCAAATCAATTTCCTGCAGGGGCCTTGGTGCGAGCAGGTTCAGTGCTCATGTGGCAGCAATGAACGGCAATGGGGACCCACCCACCAGTAGCCAAGTCACTCCTTGGCCCGGGAGAGGCCAAACTCACTGTAGAGCTGCAGCGTAGTGCTGGGCTTCTTGCCGCTCTCCCTGATACTGCTCACGATGGCGTAGTGTTCGTAGTCCGTCTCTACCACGTACAGGTCCTGCTCCCCTTCTTCTCCTAAGAAGATCCCAGAGGATGCGCAGCTGGGCAACGTGGCACAATCCCACGCTCCCGCAGCTCCCAGTTACTGTGCTGGCTGCACCAAAGCTGGACAGGACTCATGGCTTGAGGACCAGGCCCCAAACTGGTCCCCTTCACTGTGCAGAGAGGGGGATGCCACCTCTGAGCCAGCAGCTCTCTGTGCTGTGTTGTCTCGCCCAGGTGCCCACTTGCAGTGCGGCCTCTTGCCAAGAGATGGAGGCAGAGAGGCCTGGCCCAGCTCCTGCTTGCTCTCTGTGAGCAGGAAGAGGGCTTACGCTCCTTGTTCTCCCTTCTTGGAGTGCCCCAGGGGCAGCCAGCTGGAAGCCAAGAGCAGAGTCCGTACCAGCAGACCCCCTGCCCCCATGTACCTGTGGTGCTGTAGTGCCCGACCTGCCCCTTCTGCTGGAAATGCATCTCAACCTTTTTGCATTCGTCTGCCCTAAAAAGGAAGAAGTAGAACAGCAGATGCAGCTCCAAGCTGTGCTGAGGGTAGTGTCCTCTTCAGCGGGCCACTTTGTCTCTTCACCCCGTGGAGGGGTGAGTCTGGCCTGTGGGGACACAGGACACATCACCCTTTAGGATGTGAAGGGACTTCACAGAATCACAGAATGGTTGAGGTTGGAAGGGACCTCCTAGAGATCATCTGGTCCAACCCCCCCGCTCAAGCAAGAACACTCAGAGCACGGGGCACAGGGTGGCATCCAGGCGGGTTTGGAAGATCTCCAGAAAATGAGACTTTAGAACCTCTCTGGGCAGCCTGTTCCGTGGCTATGTCAGCCTCACAGGAAAGAAGTTCTTCCTCACATGGAGATGGAACTTACTGTGTTTCAGCTTGTACCCATTACCCCTTGTCCTGTCACTGGTCACCACCGAAAAGAACCTGGCCCCATCCTCCCTACAGTCTCCCCTCAGGTACTCGTACATGTTGATCAGATCTCTCATTCTTCTCTTCTCCAGGATAACAGGATAAACAGGCCCAGCTCACTTAGTCTTTCCTCATACCATAGATGCTCCAGCCCCTTAATCATCTTTGTCGCTCTACACTGGACCCTCCTTAGAAGCTCCACGTCCCTCTTGTCCTGGGGAGCCCAGAACTGCACCCAGTACTCCAGATGCCTTCCCAGAGCTGAGAAGAGGGACAGGATCAGGATCACCTCCCTCGCCCTGCTGGCAACACTCCCCCTGATGCAGCCTGGATCCCATTGGCCTTCTTGGCCATGAGGACACATTGCTGCCCCATTGTTAACTTGTTGTCAACCAGGACTCCCACATCCCTCTATTCAGACTTGCTTTCCAGCAGGTCAACCCCTAATCTGTACTGGTGCCTGGGACCAGGTGCAGGACCTTGCGGTTGTCCTTGTTGAACCTCATGAGGTTCATCTCTGTCCAACTCTCCATCCTATCCAGGTCTCTCTGAACGGCCACTCTCTGGAGTGTCGGCCACTCCTCCCAGTTTGGCGTCATCTGCAAACTTGCTGAGGGTGCCCTCTGTGCCCTCATCCAAATCACTGATGAAGAAGTTGAGCAGCACCAGGCCCAGTACTGGCCCTTGTGGGATACCACTGGCCACAGGCCTCCAACTAGACTCAGCCCCATTTATCAGCACCCTCTGGGTTCTGCCATGCAGCCAGTTCTCAATCCAGCTCACTGTCCACTCATCAGTCCACACTTCCTGAGCTTCCCTATGAGGATGTTATAGGAGACTGTGTCGAAAGCTTTGCTGAAGTCAAGGTAGACAACGTCCATGGCTCTCCCATCGTCCATCCAGCCAGTCACCTCATCGTAGAAGGCTATCAGGTTCGTCAGACATGGCTTCCCCTTGGTGAATTCATGCTGTCTACTCCTGATCACCTTCTTTTCCCTGACATGCCTAGAAATGGTCTCTAGGATGAGCTGCTGCATCACCTTTCCAGGGGCGGAGGTGAGGCTGACCGGCCTGTAGTTTCCTGGCTCCTCCCTCTTGCCCTTTCTGAAGTCTGGAGTGGCGTTGGTTTATTCCAGTCCTCAGGCATCTCCCCTGCCCGCCGTCTCTCGAAGATGATGGAGAGCGGCTGAGCAATAACCCCTGCCAGTTCCTTTCACACTCTTGGGTGCATCCCATCTGGGCCCGTAGATCTAGTCCAGTCTGCCTAAGTAATCCCTAACCCAATCCTCCTCAACCAGCTGGAAGTCTTCCTCTCTCCTGATTATCTCTCTTGTCTCTGGGCTCAGTAGTTCATGAGGACTAGCCTTAGCAGTAAAGACAGAAGCAAAGAAGGCATTTAGTAACTGCCTTCTCTGCATCCTCCGCCAAGGCACCCTCCCCATTCAGCAGCAGACTAACGTTTTCCCAAGTCTTCCTCTTGCTGCTGATGTATTTATAGAAGCCCTTCCTGCTGTCCCTGATATCTCTCGTTGACTCTAATTCCAAATGGGCCTTGCCCTTCCTTGTTGCATCCCTGCATTCTCTGACAATGTTCCTGTATTCTTCCCATGTGGCCTGGCCCTTCTTCCACATTAGGTACATGCTCTTTTTCTCATTAAGTTTACCCACCAGCTCCTTGCCCATCCACACAGGTCTCCTGCCCACCTTGCTCGACGTCTTTCTTATAGGAATGCACCAAACCTGAGCTTTGAGAAAGTGGTGCTTGAATAGTAGCCAACTCTCCTGGACCCCCTTTCCTTCTAGGACCCTTGCCCAGGGGATTCCTCCATGGAGCTCCCTGAAAAGGTCAAAGTTATCTCTCTTGAACTCTAGGGTTGCAATGCTACTTCTTGTCCAACTTCCTCCTCACAGGATTGTGAATTCCAACATCTCATGGTCACTGCAGCCAAGACTGTCCCCAGCCTTCACATTTCCAACCAGACCATCTGTTTGTTAGCATCAGGTCTAGAAGCGCCCCTCCCCTTGTTGGCTCGTTCACCACCTGCACTGCAATGTTCTGCAGGAACCTCCCGGGCTGTCTGCTCCCAGCTGTGCGATTATCCCAGCAGACAGCAGGGTGACTGAAGTCCCCATAAGGACCAGGCCTGGGATCATGAGGCTTCTTGCAGCTGCCTATAGAAGGCCTCATCCACTTCCTCTCCCTGGTCAGGAGGCCTGTAGTAAACTCCCCCGACAGTGCTGCCCCTGTTGGCTGCCCTTTAATCCCTACCCACAGGCTCTCAGCTCACGCTTCGGTCTCCCCTACAGCTCCATACGGTCCCATTGCTCTCTCACACAAAGAGCAACTCCACCACCTTGCCTACCTGGCCTGTCCTTCCTGAAAAGCCTGAAGCCATCCATGGCCACGTTTCACTCATGAGAGCTGTCCCACCATGTCTCAGTAACTGCAGTGGGATCATGGCCCTGCATTCGCACACACCTCTCCAGTTCCCCTGGTTTATTCTCCATGCTGCATGCGTTTACATAGAGGCATTTGAATTGGGTTCCCAATGTGCCTCTCTTTCTAGCTGGGGCAGCTGCAACTTGCTCCTCTCCCAACCACCCCTGTCAGGAGGAGAGTACCCAGACCAGGACGCTGCAGCAACCACAGCAGAGATGCCCACTGCATCCAGGCACTTACATGGGGAAAAGAGCCTTCACAGCCATGTTGCCCTCCGGCGAGAAGCTGAACTTGCTGGTGGACACCTTCATGTTATCCTTAATGCTCAGGAACGCAGGGCAGTTGGAAGCAGCAGCCATGATGTGCCATGTCCCTGCAAACTGTGACGGGCCATCACCAGTGGAGTTCAAGAAAGCCATGGGGATGTGCCACCTGCTGTGGGGGCCTGCCACCCACCACAGGGACCTGTCCCGCCGCTCTGGGGAATCTGCCAGCCACTGTGGTGACCTGCCACCCTTCTAGAGGACCAGCTCTGTGACCACTTTGTCCTGCCCCATGCCAGGAGGGGCGGGCACATCACCCAGCCCATGTTTGCTGGGGAAAGGCAGCCAGGATCTTGCAGCCCCAGGTGTGTGGGTGACCCTGTGGCACACACATGGGTCTGCCCATGGCAGAGGGGCCTGTGGTGGCCAAGACCAACCCATCTTTTTCCACTACCTCATGGCAGAAAAGCTGGCACAGATTCAGACCCTGGATGGGGGGACCTGCAGGTCTGGGGGTGCCACGTGTGCCCAGGGACACAGCAGGGGATGGGACCCCCACTGTCCTGGGGTGGCCTCCTTTGCAGTTACCTTCTCGGGGTCAAAGCCCGGCTGCACAGGGACCTCAGCCTGCACCCGCAGCAAGCAGAGCAGGGCCAACGCCAGGCTTGACTGCGCAGCCTTCATCCTCTCTCTGGAAGCTGAATGTGTCTTGGGTGGACCTGCCTCTTCCATACCCACCTTTATACCCTCCTGCAGCAGCAGCTCCCCCGCCCCAGCCTGCTTTATGCAACAGGTTACACAAGAGCAGGGATAATTTGTGCAAGTGTTAGGTAACATCGTTGGCCCCTTCCAGGTCTAATTGCTCTGTCCCGAATGAATGCAGCCTTGTCTGAGCCCTAACGAGGAGCACGCTGGTGACAAGGCATGCCCTGTGTCCAGTGGGGTGACCAAGGAATGGGGTGAGGTGGGCTCAGAGGGTGCCATGTGTGGGGGTCCTCGCAGCTCCCCTCCCAGCTGGGGTTGCCCTGGTCTCCCGGGGCTCTGGCTGTGCAGGGACAGACCCTGCATCAAGGCAGGGATTGGCCAGGCCAGGGCTTTCACCCAGGGACTGGCCACCAGGATGGGGCGGCCTCCTGGCAGCGGATGCAGGCCCTGTTCCCAGAAAGCATCTCTGGGTTTGTGGCACAGACACTGGTTGGGTGGCCGGGGCTGAGTCACATCAGCCCCTTTGGGCCTTCACTCTGGTTCATGTCTATCCTCTCCAGCAGCTCCCAGACATCCAGCAATCAGTCAGCTCCTGCCCTATCTCCACGTCAGATAGCCAACTATCCACAGCGGAAACCGAGGCAGGGATGCTGGGATTGCCAAGGGTGATGCAGGGAGCCCGTGGCAGGAGATGCTCCCAACCCCAGCATGTCCTGACTCTCAGGAAGCCCTTCCTGGCCGTGGAGCAGGTTTTATGGCTTTGCCAGGCAGCGAAGGTGCAGGGGGTCCCATCCTGCTAATCCAGTGCTCGGATCAGACCTGCCCTCCGGAGGCAGCCCCAGCCCTGCCCACGCAGGGACTGGCTGGGGGGCACCGGGACAGCCCACCGTGGGGAGCTGCAGATGCCCCCCCTGCTCCTCTTACTTGGGGAAGTGAGTGGGGACGATGGGTGGCCCCACCAGGGCTCCCCCTCCTGCCCACGCGCCTTGACGAGCCAGCAGACAAGAGCACAGGACTAGTGTTTTATATGGGGCTTTGGCAGGAGGGGGTACAGACGTGGGGATGCGAAGGCAGAAAGTGAAGGGTGATGCCGTGGCATGACGGGGTGGGGTGGCTGCTCCGCTCGTGGCACAAGCCGGACTCCAGCCTGGCAGCAGCTCCCAGGTGCACCTGGAAGAGAGCGGAGGCAAATACTGCTGAGCTGGGGCAGGAGCAGCATGGGGCAATGCTGCCCCCTGAGTCCTGGGCCAAACGGGTGGGCACCAGCCAGCCCACAGCCCAAGGTGATGCAGTCCTGTGGGGATGGCTCTCCCGCTTGGTGGCAAGGGGATAAAGTGGGGACCCCACATGTCCCCACATCAACCCATGGCGGGCAACACTGGCAAGTTCTCCCTACTGAGGGGAAGAGGATTCCCTGGGAGAGGAGCTTGGATAGTGCTGAGCAGCTTGAAGAGGCCAGAGCAGGTGCTGGGGGGCTCTGGGGCATGAAGCAGGTCTGAGCACCGCCCTGATAACTTCCCACATGGGGCTGGTCTGAGTCCCTCCAAAACCAGGACTCACCTAGGCAGCATCGGTCATGCATTTATCTGCAGAAGGAACAAAACCAGAGGTGAGCTGATCCTCAGGCTCAGCGAGACCACAGCCCTCCAAACCCTCCTCACAGGACCACCCGAGGTGGCTCTTCCCACCCATGCATCCTTTGGAGGCTGGGACCGCAGGGCCATGTCTCTGCCAGGAGCAAACCAGACATCCATCCCTTCCCATCCCACCCCTTTCCACCCTTTCCCATCCCTTCTGGCCCTGGCGCAGGAGGACCCACATGGATGGGGGTGTCAGGCTCAGTAGGTTCCAGCTCCCTGCCATCCCATCTGACCTCCCTGGCCTCTCCTCCCAGCTGCTCTCACCTGTTTTGGGCAGGATGAGGATCTCTTCATCTGCCAGTCCTTGTTCCTTGGAGAACTGGGTGAACCTCTCCAGGCGCTCGGGACTGAGCTCCTTAGTCCTGCCTGCAGCCATGAGAGCCGGGTTAGAACAAGAAGCAGCACTGGGTTGTATGGCTCAGGGGCAGAGTAAGCCCTGCAAGAGCTTGGCAAGACTAATTCCCTCCAGGAAAGTGGTCCAGACCCAGCTATGCCACACGTCACTCAAGGTGACAGAGGTTTCACCAGTCATTCTGGATGTTGGACAGGACCTCCTGTCCTAGCTGCACCCACAGCCCAGCTGTTGACCCTGGGAGATCCTTCCACCCTTCTCCCATGGGAAAGATTTCCCAGACAAGGAAATCTCGGGAGTGCCCACTCATGGGGGAGCAGAGTTGGGGTCCCAGCGCTGGAGCGAACGTACTGTAGAGCAGCACCATGGTGGAGGTGCCGCTGTTCTTGGAGATCTGCGTGGCCACCAGGGCGTACTCGTCGTAGTTGGTCTCCACGATGCGGATGTCGTGCTTGCTGCCCCAGCCTGCAGCAGGCAGAGAGGGCACGTGTCAGCCCAGTACCCCAAGCACTGCTGCCCACCCGGGCACCCCAGCGAGGGCAGGAGCAGGCAGGTAGCGCCAGGCACTATCAGCGCTATCAGCAGTGTCCATGGCTGAGACACAGGGAGGTGTCTGCAAAAGGATGTGCTTGGACCTTGACCAGACACTCACGGGGGCTGGTGTAGCTGAACCGTCCTGGCTGCTCTGTCTTGATGTAAAGGCTGTTCTTCGTCTCACATCGATCAGCCCTGGGAAGCAAAGCGTGAGGTGGTTGAGGGAGCTTCCTATGTGGCCATGGGAGGAACACCAGCACTGCCAGCCCTCACCAGCACCCAACAACAGGCTGTGGGACCTGCGAGAGCCTGGGGAAGGCAGAGCACCTGGTACCTGGCAGGACCAGATCCTGCCATCCCAAGGGCACCTACCACCCACCAGGAAGGCCTAGTGGTCTGGGGCATCCCCCATCTCCCCTGGTGACAGCAGTTCACCCATCACGTTGCCTGTCCGCACTTGGGGTAGGTGGAAGTGACTTCCAGGTTGCCGTCAGCAGTGGCCGAGACGACCGTGGTGCACATCTTCATCAGGTGCTTCTTGTCCTTGAACCAGTTGGAGTTGGAGGCCAGGCCGATGCTGTACCACTTCCCTGTGAACTGCACGCACCCTCGTCTCAGCTGCCGGCTGGCGGCGGTGCCGGCCTTGCAGGAGCTGCCTGCAGCCCTGGCACCTTCCCGAGGCAGCTGCATCCCCCAGCTCCCCGGCAGAGCAGGCTGCTCTGCACCCCGCGGGTGCAGGATGAGGGGCTGGGACCCGGCTCGCTGCTGCCAGCAGCTGCCTCCCAATGCCAACACGGGGAGAGCAGGGTCACCAAGAGCCGGCGTGGGCAGCGCCTGCCTAGGGGTGCTGGGGAGAGCAGAAGAGTGCATGGGAACCCCTGGCACAGCAGCTGTGTGTTCTTGAGACCTCTGTCCGGGGGTGGACAGATCTGTCAAGCCATGCTTGCTTTTCTCCATGCATCTATAGAAACACCCACCAAAGTGAATCCCAGGACCCCAGAGCAGCCAAGGGATGGGGAGCTAAGGGTGTATTGGTTGCTGTCCTCCTTCCAGACCCCGGGACAGCCTGATCCCAGTTTCCATCCGTAACACCCCCTCCACATGGCTGCGGGGAGTCCATCCCCACCGCATGTCCCGCGCGGCCCCAGGCCGTCCCTGCACTGGCCCGGCCGCTCTCACCTGCTTCTCCTGGAAGTCGGCTTGCACGGGAGCGTCCCCCTGCGCGTGCAGCGCCCCGAGCAGGGCCAGCCCCAGGATGCTGAGCAGCGTGGCCTGCATGTCTGCAGCGCCCTGTCCTTCCCTGCGCCGAGCCGAGTCCAGGCAACGCGGAGCTGAGTCCAGGCAACGCGGAGCTGAGTCCAGGCAATGCGGCGCTTCGGGAGAGCTCTCTATTTATGAGCAGGCCGTGTGATGGCCCCGGGGGGCGAGGCAGGCCAGCCCGGCCCCCCCCCGCGCTGTTATGCAAGTGGGAGCAGGGGTGAGTACCGAATCCCGAGTGCAGCCTGGGAAGCAGCAGATTTTTCCTCTCCTGTTGATTTTTGATGTTTGCCTCCGGGTGCCAAAGCTCCCTGCTGTAAAAACACAATTTGGAGCCAGTTTAGCAGCTGTCCCTGCCCCCGGCTCCCTTCCCCCTGTTGCAGTGGAGAGCTTGGGACCGGTGCAGGGAGAGCCAGGACTGGCCACTAACATGGGAAGGGGGCCAGGGCCACCCGGCGTGGCCAGGACCTAGGGCCAGGGCTGGCTGACTGCCCTGATCCTTGCTGAACAGCCTCGCTTGGGTTCAGAGCAGGGCCAAGGCAATGCAGAGGGGACACTGGCTGCATGCGGATCCCACAGCCACCTTTGGGCACGCGGACGGGGTCTTTGCCTTCAACCTGACCCGAGTCTCTGCCTTGCCCAAAGGAGCACCTTGGCTGGCCCTGCCCAGGAATAGAAGGCTGGACTTGTCCCAGGTCCCATGGGTCTCCAGAGGTTTCATAAAAAGAGAAAAGCTCAGCCACGGACATTCCTCGTGGAATGTCCCCATTCCCCGTTCCTCTGGGGTGCCACAATTCCAGGGCCCAGTGTGGTTTTACAGCCCTGATCCCTGTTGTACCTTGCTGGCAGGAGGTCTCATCACGGTGCTTCCCGGCGTGTGGGGCCGTGTGGTCCTGCGACACCCCCAAAGCCAGGCTGGATGGCGCAGGTCACACCTGAGGACCTGGCTGTGGGGCCAGGCCCCTCGCCTGGGCCCTGAGGGGCTCTGGTGCCCCCGGCCGTGTGTCCGAGACGTCCTGCTGCACCCTGTGCCCGTGCTGGGGAGGGTCTGGCCCCGCTGCCCTGGTGCGGAGGGCTGGCGAGCCAGGCAGGGCGACCGAGTGCCTGGAGGAGAGGCAGGCGCGGGGCACCTGGCACCGGGGGCAGCCCCGCGGCCTCCCTGCGCCCTGCGCGGTGCTGGGCCAGGCTCCCCGGCCTGGCGCTGTTCGCGGCAGCGGCACCGGCCCAGCTCGGACATCCCCG